CCCTGAATATGGTGATGTATGATATAGGGTTGTCCAGATCTTATTTTCGAGTTCAGCGCTTTCAAACTCTCCTCAGTGTTTTAGGATGAATTCATGAAGAAGTCACAAATATGGAATGAATAAGGAACAAACACACAGGCAGACACTGGGGCCAGACTGCCCCCCCCCCCAATATTTTGAAATACAGGCCTCGAGGAAGCCCTGCGAACAGAAGCTCGTGACATCAGAACCGGTGTTTGGACCAGGCATCACTGTATGTCACCTTGAACATTGACCAGTACTGCAGCAATTTGATACCTCTCTGTCCAAATTTGGGGGGGGGGGGGGGGGTCGGGTTCCAGTGTCTGCTTGTGTGATTGTCCTAGGGGCACTGCACTTTGGAGCAGCCGGCACCGGAACCATGCTTTGGACCAGCACACAGAATGTGTCCCCTCGAAGGGGAGGGTTCGCTGAAGATGGGGGTGTATGAAGTGTGGGGGTCCAAACCTTATTTTGGGTGCAGGGGGCACTTCCTTATTAAAATTTCATTTGGAGTACAGGCCTCGGGGAAGCCCTGCGAATAGAAGCTCGTGGCATCAGAACCAGTGTTTGGACTGGGCATCACTGTATGTCACCTTGCAGGGCACAGTCCCCAGAGCGTGGGGATGTGTCGTTTCGGGTGGTCCAAATATTGGGGGGGGGGGCATCTGGCCCCAGTGTCTACCTGTGTGATTGTCCTAGGGGCACCGCACTTTGGAGCAGCTGTCAACGGAACCGCGCTTTGGACCAGCACACAGAATGTGTCCCCTAGAAGGGGAGGGTCTGCTGACGACGGGGGTGTATGAAGTGTGGGGGTCCAAACCTTATTTTGGGTGCAGGGGGCACTTCCTTATTCAAATCTCATTTGGAGTACAGGCCTCGGGGAAGCCCTGCGAACAGAAGCTTGTGGCATCAGAACCGGTGTTTGGACCGGGCATCACTGTATGTCACCTTGGCAGGGCACAGTCCCCAGAGCGTGGGGATGTGTCATTTGGGGTGGTCCAAATATTTGTGGGGGGTGCAGCCTGGCCCCAGTGTCTGCTTGTGTGATTGTCCTAGGGGCACTGCACTTTGGAGCAGCTGGCACCAGAACAGTGCTTTGGACCAGGATACAGCATATGTCCCTTTGAAGGGGAAAGTCCTGTGAATGTGGGGTATATGATATGTGGTGGTCCAGACCTTATTTTGGGGTTCAGAGCTTTCCAACTCGCTCTCCTTAGTGTTTCTGAATGACTACACGAATAAGGAATGAATAAGGAAGAGCGAATAAAGAACCAACTTCAGCCTCCTGGAGTAAGCATACACTCAGGGCTGGCTCACCCACTAGGCGAACTAGGCATTCGCCTAGAGCACGGCGGCCCTTAGGGGCACCAAACAGGACAGCGACTAGGCGCCGGCCTGAAGAGAAGCCCCGGCTGTGCTCCCTGGACCCCCGGTCCCTGCCACCACCGCCCTGTCCTCCTGGCTCAGTTGCCTCTCGCCTCTCTTGACGCGTTGAAGAAAAGGCACTGCTGCCCGAATGGACTCTACCCGTGAACTGCTCAAGGCATGGAGGAGCTCACAGGAAAAGCAAAGACCTGAGAGGGGCCAGCTGGTGCCTGGGTGGGAAAGGTTCTGTCGCTGAACTCCAGCTAGGGACACTCAAGCTCTGCCTACCATCTGCCTCCCCCCCGCTGCCTCCTATCCCCACGAGCGGGTCTCAATGCCCGAGCGAGGGCCACCCCGCTCACCCGCAGCCGAGCCCTTCCTGCCGTCTGCCATCTTCCTTTCCCGTGCATTCGGGCAGGGCTGGGCAGAGAGAGTTCCACACGTGGAACACCGTGGGACTTGCTTCCCAGTCAGCACGCTCAGGATCCTCCTGGATGCGGCCTCTCTTCCCGTGCTTATTTGCTCAGTGGCCGGAGGGTGTTCCCTTTCGCGTCCCATTTTGAGGTGGGAGGGGAGAAGGAGAGTGTGGTGGAGTGTGCGGGAGGGGGGATCGAGTCCCAAGTTCAGCCGGGCCAGGAGAGGGGGGGTTACTCGGTGGTAAGCACCGCAGATGCCTGGAAGGATCGGGCCGCCTTGCGTGGGTGGGTGGGTGGAAGACAGCTGGGGGGGTGCGCTCTTGCCGTGACCCCCCCCCCCAGCATTTAGTCCTGCAATTGGGAAAGAAGAATTTGCGGGGGGGAGGGGAGAAGAAGAGGTGGAAAGAATCCCTCTCTCTGCATTGCATTTTGACCCCCACGGATCCCCCCTCCCGCCGCTGCTTAAAAATCACCCAGCCCCAGAGGGAGAAGATGGGAGGATGAAGAAAAGGTTTAACTGGGGGGAGGGGGGGGATAAGAACTAGGGGAGAAATGCAGACAAGAAAGCTACAAACCCCATCCTTTCCATGTTTACATTTCTCACTGGCCACGCTTAACCTCCTCCCTCTTCCTTTTCTCCAGGCCCAGCCTGGAGGTTGGCAACCAGGTAATTGGCCAGCTGGCCCTGCCTCCTCCAAGACGTGGGGGGTAGAATTTC